TTGCAGAAATGGTAAGCCGGCTGTACAGAGCCAGCTCTAGAAGCTTAAGCCAATTGTGCTGACAATTCTGCAACTCGAACCATGCATCTTGTAGAGTATTTAATGACCCCCAACGGCTAGAAATGACTCTTTTGGAGCAAGGGGCTATAAATATGGTTGGTAACAGATCTGGAACAATCTTAAGAACATTGCATTGAATATCTTTACCTACCAACTTATGCTTTAACTTGAGATTTTAATCTTTGAGAGATCTTTACTTGTAATCCTCTTCTTGTTCTATTTGTGAGTGATCTTGAGGGTGTGATTATTCCTTCAAGAGTGATTTGTAGAGAGGATTGTTTGGGTTTATCTTGTAAAGGGGTGAGATTTGAGAAAAACACCCTTCTTCTTGTAAAAGGATTGAGTGGCTCCTTTAAGCCACCCTTGATTTTGTTAGTGGAGAGTGTGGAGGAAATCCTTGGTGAGTGAAGTTAAGATAGAGGACTAGGTTCCAAGTGGTTGGACCGAACCTCTATAAAATCATTGTGCAAGCTCTTCTTCCCTACTCTCTCTTTGATTTTTGTTTGGTGGTTGCAAAGAGGTGAAAATTTTTCAACTCCAATTCACCCCCCTCTTGGAGTACATTGAGTCAACACCGATGCCACAAGCGGCCATTCGTCAAAGCGAGTCTGCCTTTGAAAACCAGATCTAGCCCCGCGATTTCACGAGCTTTGAGCTCGCTAACATTGCCTCTTCAGCACATTACTCATTTCTCATGCACAAACAAATGCAAAAGACTCAAATCGGCTAGAAATTACAGTATATAATAGAAATATAACTTCGGCATATAGGTTTGCCACATCGACAAACCCAAATAAGGCGAGCTACTCAGGGTAACCAAAGCCTCCAAGTCTACTAATCCCTCTTCCCTTACGTACTCTAGCAGCTTGTTCCTTAAATCTACATCCCCTGGCACCAACGTGGGGTAGTTCATATACGTGTGGCCTAAGTGCCATTCAGAGAGACGAGCTGCCAGCTTGTTACTAATCCTCTCTGTCCGCGTGTCTCACACAAAAATGAAATGCCTTTTGCATCTGGCGATTTTATTCTATACGTTTGTGAAAATTATCATCTTCTCTCTTCCAGAAATGTAGTACCACCTCATTCAGGTACTACTAAGTCGGCATAAGAATAATGACCTGAATATTGTCGCTTTAGCTGGTATCTCTAGCTTCGCGCATAATAGCATAAATCCCACAATAAATTTTATGTTGTTTGGCATCAGTTGTGTCAATACCAACTCGTACTCTGCCAACAAGTCAAAAATTAGCCCTGCTAGGGGCAAGCGCAAGCTGGCATCAAAGTGATCTACGTACACTAGTATCCAACCCGTTCTTGACACTGTACACGCCTTCTCATTTTGGGTACCAGCTCAGATTAAAATTGTCTTTAGAATCTGGTATTGTCTCACCATTTCCTCTAACTTTTTATACCCTTTAACTGTGGCCAAACCATTTGCCACATCATGATGCAGTGCCACCCTAAACCTAAAGCCAGCCAGAAGAGTTTTTGGTGCTTTACAGAGATTGTCCAATCTCCTATTGATAACCTTATTCTCCCATTCTTCGAACACAACCACATCCGCCTCCGTACTTGTCGTTGGCGAACTGATAGTACCTTCTCCAATGTCCCCCACATCACTAGATGTCCTCTCTGAAGACGAATCTTTAGAGGCTAAAGAACAGTGGTCGTTGGAATCACCATCTGTGCTCGAACCAGCGCTACTCTCCAGTGTGATGGGTTTGGGCAAATCCCGTAGTTCCAGTGACACTATCATCGTAATCGGTTCCACCGATATAACACCCTCTTCTTCTTCCTTCCCCTAGTTACCCCGAAACTCTCTTAGATCTTGAAAGGAATCCATTTTTACCTAGATGTCAGAAATCTGATGTTCTTTCATGTTTAGAGTTTTGAGGAATACGCCTGAAATACTTCTGTAACCTCTGTTGCAAAAAATGACAAACAGTACCGTAAAATGAAACAGAGAAATGGTTAAGTGATTGTTTCTGTTGCCTTTCTCAAACAAACCACGCACCCATAAATGCCATACACGTGTTTTTGACATGCCAGTTAAACGCCTACACGTGGTAGCCATTTACGGTTGAGTGCGTAATACCTGCCGCCTACAACTGTCACGTCCCCTCAAATACTGAGCCAGCATTTATTGCGGGGAAGGTAGAGGGATATCCATTGGCAGAAGAATATCAAACGCCTTGAACTGTATCTCCTCAGAGATTTGTTCTATTTTGAATTAAGATTTGCTTCATTTTAAGTTTTGAAAAGTGCCCAAGGTTGAGGTCGTAGCATTTTAGCTCAACTTCGTAACCACATCTCTTTAGAGATCTCAAATTGTAACAAGATTAACATCCCTTTAGAGATCTCAGATCATGACAGGGTTGAGATCGTTTACTTTAGCTCACTCCTCGGATGAGATCCGCTTTGTTTCAAAATTTTGAAAAATGTCCATGGTTGAGGTCGTTGCATTTTAGCTCGGCTTCGTAATCACATCTATTCAGAGGTCTAAGATCACGACAAGGTCGAGATCAGTTTACTTTAACTTATTCTGGTAATTACGTGACGACCCCTGTAACATCCTATATACTTTAATGAATAAATTAAAAATTAGAGTCATTTGTTTTAACATTTTAAGGACTAAATTGATTAGAATTGGAATATGTGGACCTTATATGAAATTATGAGATAGTTAGAGACCATTTACTAAATTTGCCAAATTTAAGACACGTGGCAATTTGTGAACCAAGTCACCGGGTTTTCTCTAGAAGACTTTAGAAAGCAAAATCCTTTTTGCCTTCAAACTCTTGAAACCCATTCCTCTGCATTTGTCCAAGTTGTGTGGGTGAAAGAGGGAAGCTGTCGTTGCTTTTACTATGTGTTTTCTTCGGGTTCCCTTCCAAATTCTGCTGATCTTTACAATTGAGTGCTTTGATTTTTAGGTAAGTATGAGTCTTTGTTATAAATTTGGGTTAGAGTTGGGTACATTACAGATTTATCATAATATGCTAGAAATTAGTTTAAATTAGCAGCTTTGACCTCAGATCTGTAGTTTGGGAGATTTTTGGGCAATAAAAATTGTGTTAGAAATGTAAGATATTGTGGGGCTTGCACGAGAATGACTTCATGATGGGTTTAATTTTCATATTGGAGTTTATTGTGAATTTAATTGATAAATACTGCTGTGGACTTCATGTGCTTGCTTTGTGTGGTGATTTTCTTACGAATTAATATGACAAAATAATTTCATATGTCTATTTGGAAGTCGCAGTTACTGTTCACACACAAATCACTGTTCATGCACTAGTACTATTCACAAACTATACTTTAATTTCTTTTCATAAGAAATTCTATGGAATATGTGAACTGTGTATGTGGATATTAGTATGAACTTGAATTGTCAATACCACTGATTAATGGAAACATTGAATGGGATAAAGTGCTAATATTATTTTGGACATATTCTAAATTTGTTTGACATTTGTATGTGTTTGTGGTTGTGGAGTAAGTGGACCTAAGTTTAAAGTTCGAGGTATTCAGTGGACCCTTTGGGGTATTCAGTGGACCCTTTGGGGTATTCAGTGGACCTTTGTGCAATAGGGTTAGTACTGTGATTAGTTCCAGTACAATGTTGCTAGCACATATTAGTGAACTCCATAGCATTATGTGATTTTCGATTTTATGTATTATGCTTGTGACATCGTATTTGTGAGCATATGATTTTATGATAAGAATTTGATTTAAATGTCATTGATTATCCCTTAACATGTGTGATTATGATTTGAGATATTAAGTTATTATTTAAATACTGAGAATTATAATATTATGTGGTTTGGTTCCATTGTACCTCATGCTCTTTGTGTATAGGTCTAGGGGTCTTAGGACTCAAGTTTATAACTTAAACTCAATACTTACTGGACTTTTAGCTCATAAAATACCCCCTCATTTCAGATTAGTAGATTGGAGTAACAGCCGCTCAGTTTGAGAGCTTTCGTATAAATCTTGTATGCCGACCTCAGTGCTTTTAATGTGAAGGCAAATTAATGTATTACCAAAACGATAATTTTGCTTTTATTATTTTAGAAAATATTTTGAAAAGCAATTGCGTTCATGTATTTTTTTTTATAAGTTACTTTTATGTATATGACATTAAGATTAATTTAAATGGGCATAGCCTAACTTATTTATGACTTTGAGTATTTCAATATTTTTTTAAGACATTTTTCATTTATATAGTTTTTCCTTACATATGAATGGTTTTCCTTATATAAAACTTTAAATTATTTTGAAAGCGGATTTTCCTTAAAGGGGATGTTACAACCCCGATACTTCGTTTTAGAATTTCTGAAAGATGATTGTGGTTCAGATCGTCATGTGTTTGCTTGCTTTCATGTCAGTGTAGACGAGCTCGTGACATAACATGTAACACCTCGCATATGACACACACCTTACTAACAGATCTCATCTCTTCCTAGATCTACTCCATTTGAAAATTGGAAATTCATCATACAAGCTCGCCTTTGCAAGCTCGTTGAGCTCGCTGATATACGCCGAATTCACGCGAATAAGATTGCTTCAATATTAGCTTGCCCATGCACACTCGGGCATATGAGTTCGATCTATTCATAGATGCCTAATGTGGTCGCTCTATGGTCAAGTCGCCTGGGTATAACCTTTTCTTAACGGCTTCCTCTTATAACGTAAATAATTCTTAAATATTAAAATTAGTTTTTTTTAATACACTAATAATTTAATCCCATCTTATAAATTCTGTTATAAGTGAATAAAATTTAACATGAATATCACTAGAATTGATTAGAAGCATTCATAATCAAAATATAAAATTTCTAAACTAAATATCTAAGAATAGTAGAATATCAAGACTAGTTTTATTATATAGTTTTAAGGTTTTTAGAATGATATTTCTTTAAAACTTAGTTAGGAGAATCATAATATTATTTTAGGAATAAATTAAAAATTTAGGGTTCTAAGAGTAAAGGCACAAACCAATTATGATAGGATAGAGTCGCGGGTGAATTAGAAATTTAGAATTAGGGTTAAAGTGCATGATGAAAATAGAAAAATAACTTAAGGAATATGGATATATTCTATTTTTATTTTTTAATTAA